CATCAGCACACCTGAGGGCTAATCAAGGCTCCGGGTGGCCCAGCCCAGATGCCCTGTGGCTGCCAAGGTGAGACCTATGGAGACCTAGCTTCTGTGGAGGACCCTGAAACACCTCTCATCCCAATTGTCAAGTTTTCGTATTTGGAACCCAGTAGTAAATTCAGTGACAGGCACAAAGAAGCAAAGATCATTGTTTCCTTACCCCAAAGTAAAAACTGATTCATACACTGCAAAAGAACTCCTCTGATCACAGAGCCACACAAACATCCTAAAGTACTTCCACAAATATTTCAGAAAGACTGCGGATGTTGTGGTTCACGGTAGTGACCTGGAACACCACCATCTTATTGCGCAGGAAGAGCCAGTGAGAGCTAGGTTGGGAACTCATTAAATGCCACCACATTGTGAAAATCTGTATTCACTTACCCAAAATTAAAACATGGTTCACAAAGTCAAAAAGAACTCCTCTAATCATGGAGCCACACAAAAATCCAGAGGCCTGGCCAACAAATATTAGCAAAAGGCTGCTGATATTGCGGTTCACATTAGTGGCCAGATCTTGAAATGTGGGTCCCAGTATAGCAATACTCATTCCCTAAAATTGAAAAGATGAAGCTTTTTATTAACAATCATTAACACAACATCTTAGTGGTAGTATCTATTCCTACTATAAAAACTGTGAGGCCTCTCCCCATGGTATAACCCCTGTTCCACTGTGTTTGATTCCTGTGTCCTTCATCTTGTATATACATTTTTCTAATTTAGGGAAGGGAAGAGAAATCACAAAATGCTGGAATAAGGATACAGGATGACCCATTGTAACAATGAGATGTAAAATGTTGAAAATGAACTTTACAACTTGGTGGGGGGAGGGAGGAGTTCAGAAGGTGGGGAGAGAAGGGACAGTAGGGAGAAAAAAGGAGGAAACAACAATGCTCTATAGGAAATGTACTCCTTACCTTACTCATATAACCCCTCAGTACAGTATGTTTACAATAAAAATATATACACAACACTCACACACACACACACTCACACACACACACACAAAGCTGTTAGGCCATACACTATATGGACTGGAACAAAGCCAGGGAAGGAATGAAACTGTTCAAAAAGAAGAAATGTATTATTTACCTGACTTATGAAACTGTAACCCCTTTGTACCTCATCTTTATAATAACAATTTAAAAATTAAGAAAAAATTAAATCTGTGATAATACTTCTATTACTAGAGCTATATACTCCCGTGGTTTTTCTTCTATCTACAACATTCCATTAAAACAATACGTATTTCATTCTTTTGGCTTTTTAATGTAATGCTCTTTCTTTGTGAACAATAGCTTAAAAACGCTATTCTGACTGAACTTTTATGGAATGTAACATAGTTATTCTTTTGGGAAAGGGGGTCTGAACGCTTCTTATCCCTTTTTTCTTTATTATTATTTTCTTTTCTTTTCTTTTTGCCAATCCTGGGGTTTGAACTCAGGGCCTGGGCACTGTCCCTGAGCTTCTTTTGCTCAAGGCTTTACCACTTGAGCCACAGCACCACTTCTGGCTTCTTTGTGTTTATTTGGTACTGAGTAATTTAACCAGGGTTTCATGCATGCTAGGCAAGCACTCTGTCACTAAGCCACATTTCCAGTCCCCCACACCCAATTACATATATGCTCAAATATACTAGCCAAGTGACAGTAATAACAAATATGCTGTATATACTAATAGGAGAATTCAAATGTTAAAATTTTAAATTACTAAGACATCTTCATTTTTATGTTGTTAATACACTGATAACAGCAAGTGCAGGCTCATGGGTGTTATCACAGCTATTCATGAGGCATCAACTAGGCAAGCCTGGCAAGAGGTTATCACGACCATCTCAACTACTCCAGGCATCTTGGTTTACATCTTTTGTCCCCACCATGTGTAAGGCCAGGAGAAAGAGGATCACAGTTCAGGTGGCTCTAGGCAAAATGGCAAGACATTTAAAACAGAAAGGGGTGAAGCTGTGGCTCAAGAATTAGAGTACCTGCTTAGCAAGCACAAGAATCTTAAGTTCAAATCTCAGTACTGCCAACAAAACAAACAAATAGAGAGAGAGTCCTTTCTCTAAACTACAAATAACTTTATGCAGTACATCAAACATTTAAATATTTCTACATCTACATTTCTTCAAAGAAGCCTCAAAGTTAAAAGGGGCGCAGTGTATCAGCCTTCCTTACTTTCTAAGAAACAAGCATGATGGTATGTATGAACAAGTATACAATGACTTTAACAAAATTTTCCTGAATGACAAGGTATTCTGGTAATTTCAACTTGGCTGAAACTGTCTGCATATGTTGCAAACTCTACCACTGACAAGTTGCAACCTAGATGAATATCTTCTTGTAACAAACACTTAACCTTTCAAACGTGCATTATATTTATACACTGATGCATTGAATTAAAACCCTTTTGAAAAACTACTTAGAGATTAATTTTAAGAAGTTTAAAAACACAAATATGGAACCATGGCCAGTCATACCAATTAGAGGTAATCAGGTCAGGTTCAGTCAGTAACAGGCTGTTGAGACACGTCTAAACAAACAAATGGTAAGAGCTGACCTGTGCTGACATTACTAAAAGTCACTTCTTGTCTCTGCCTATAATTCTTGCCTGTTTCACCTTTCTGGGAAGACTTATCTCCTCTTTACTGGCTCAGGTACTGGTCAGTGTATGAACTGTGCCTTTATTCACAGAAATTAGCTCAATTTAATTGTCTGAAATTTTTCTTTTAGAGATATACATCAGGCCCATGGATAAATCAAGTGTGTTTTAAGTTCTCTAACTTCATTTAAGCTTTTTTTTAAACAAGGCTAAATCACATAGGATCTAGTCATTATCTGGATTGTATGTATGCAGTGGCCACAGGTAAGCAGGTGGCATTTGAAAATGGGTTTTTCCCTAATATACAAATTCAATGCAATTCCTATTAAAATCCCAATGACGTACATCACTGATATACAGAAAACAGTCCAAAAATTTTATGGAACAACAAAAGACCTAGAATAGCCAAAACAATTCTAGGGGATAAAGACAATATGTGAGGGCTATCCATGCCGAACTTCAAACTCTACTACA